CCACTCCTCGGAAGGAAGGTTGGGCAATCCTACTTCCGTAGTGATACTGCCTCGGAAACCCAAGGAGGGGTCGCTATGAGTCGGGTTTGACTCGACGGCAAACAACAACAACAACAACAAATGGCTAGAGAAATAATTCACTGCACCACACAATCCTTTTCCAGCTTGGAGAATTTTTTGTTTTTGAGGACAGTTGTGATTGTTGAGTGTGACTTGCCTAAATTTCATGCAATAGCATTCACTGATTTTCCACCTTCTTGTTGTTTCAAAACCTTTATTTCACATCCAAATCAATACTTTTCCTTGCCTCTTGTTGCTACTATCACTGGTTTTCCTACATTTGGGAACCACGATGGATGTTACAGTAATATTTTTGAAAGAAAATGAGAGATTTTGGAAGATAATGTCATACCTGTAGCCCACGTTTATTCCCTCTAGCATCTCACTGCCTGAAAAACTAGGTGCAGCAATTTGAAGCAGGGATTCTGGGGCTGTCAACAGCTCATTAAGTTAGAGATGGCTAGATTTAGTGGAGAAGGTGAAAAAAAAAAGGATAAACAGCTGGGAAAGATACAAATAAATGAACCTGCCCAGCGGCAGGCAAGACAGTGAGACGGAGAAGCAGAAATCCCCTTTAACAATTGCGGAGAAAGCCGTGGTGGAAAAGGGAAAGAAGGGACACCAGGGAAATAATGATGGCTTCAGGGACTCAGACTACCCACAACAGCAGCTTCTGACGGTAGCATTGGGTACTGAGCTGAGTAAGTGGACTGCATTTCTGAGAAACAGAGCAGAAACCCCTGTGGCTTAGGTCACCGCTGAGTTGGGAGCTAAAGGGGCAAGGGAGGAAATGCACCACAGGTAGGCTGGCCCTGGGACAAGCTCACAATGTGTGGTAGTTAAGTTTGTGTGTCAACTTGGCTGGGCCTGGTTGAGTGGATGGGCAGCTGGTGGTAGTAGTCCCTATGATGAGACTGGCAGTCACCTCCATGGTGTAATCTACCACAAGCAGCTGAGTAGCTGCTTTAGAGATGTGGTCTGCTTCCCGTATATAAGCTGCAGCTTAGGGAATGGTCCCTAGCTTATGGCACACTTGAACCCTGCATGTAGCTATGTTATTGTTTAGCAACATGCCATGCTCTGCCAATCTTGGGACTTTCAAGGACTGAATTAATGGCCTGCTGTGTAGTTTAGTAACATCAGGACTGTGCCTTTTTACTTGTCAACCTTGGGTTTGGCAGCCTTAGCAGCCCGCAGCTGTCTGAGTGAAGTAAAGCCTCTAGCTTCAGTGAGCTGGGAGCAGGAGGCAGAGCTGAAGCCCAAGAATGAGGGGCTTTCACCCAGCCCATAGAGCCTGGCACTTTGAACTTGGACTGAAAGCCTCCAAACTGTAAGAGAATAAACTCCTGTTTGTTCAGGCATCCCATTTATGGTATATTATTGTCAGAGAGGCACTAGGTAACCAGAATGCAGCACAAGGCTGGGATTCAGCTCTTCCATGACAGCTTTTTGTCCCAGAGTGGCCCAGAGTACAGGGTTTCTGTGGCTGTCCAACCCAAGTGGAAAGTAGTGGTCCCCTAACCACTGGTGTCTTTGCTGATTTTGAACTGCAGGTCTGGGACTAACAACAAAACATCATCATTGGTAGTCATCCCAAGCAGACTCAAAACCTCAGAACCAGCAATAATTACAAAAACATGGAAAGTGGGGACTTGCTACTAGTGCCTTGGTTTCTTTTCTTTTCTTTTTCATTTCTTATTTTTTCACCTTCTCTCCTGCCTCACCCAATAGAAGAACCACATTAAGCCACCACAACACCTGCTCATCCTAACCCTAAATCCCCTTTATGACAAACAGAGACCTGCATCCACATTCCCTACAGTAATTCATCAACACAAAGAAAACTGTAGAACAACACAGCACACCTGAGTTAATAACCAAAAAAATAAAATACACCAGCTCCATCCTTGCAAATATATTTAAACATAAAATCAAGGTCAAACAAATCAATGCATAACTAATAGTTAAAGACAAGAACTTCAAAATGTCTAGGAAACAACAGGAAACCTCAAATCAAACAACAACAACAAAAGGACAAGACAATAGAAATAAAACCCCTGACAAAACATGGGGAAGAAGAGGCAATAGAATTGTCGGAGAAGGAATGTGGAAGATATGTTTATAGAACTCTACAGAAGCTAAAAGAAACCACAAACAGAACCAAGAAGAACATGGCCAGTACCCTGGAAGAATTCAGTAAAACCACTCAAGAACAAAATAACAAGATTAATTCACAATCAGAACTCATACAAAAACAGCAGTTAACAATCCAGAAGATGAACACTGAAATTACAGAATTACACAACACAGTGGAAGCACAGAAGAATAGGCTGGAACTGGCTAAAGAACGCATTTCCCAACTAGAA